TTCTTTATACTTGACGGTTTATGGCCTATTTTCTAGCATGAGTTTTTCTATGTTTTTCAGCCGAATAAGAAGATTCTAGTTTTAGGAACACATAGCCAATATTTCACTCTATATTTCGCAATAAAAAAATTAATTACTTCAAAACACTTTCGTTTTTTTAATGAAATGTCCGCTTGGATGCTCACTGTGTAGAGATACAACAGGGACGTTTTGCTTTATTCTTTTTTTTTCTATGCTATAATAGTCTTTTTTGCAAAATATTTAAGGTTTTAGAGGTTTTTTCTTAGGTTATGAGTTTCTTAAGTTGTGTGTTTTATACGATGACAATGATTGCATGATATGTTGCCAATGATTAGTCGAGACGACGAATTTTATTCTCCTTTTCTTACGTGTAGTCGTTGTTTGATTTTTAATTACTTCACATCTGGTGAATAGGCTATATCTCATCTCTCTCTCTTTCTCTCTGTCTGTTGTTCATGGGTTTTTAATCACTTACAACAATTATTTTATGCGTGAATGTCAAATATGTTCAGTTTACAATACATCACTAACGAGAAAGAAGAAAAGAAGAGGGTAAAAACGAACATCCTTGTTCTTTAGCTTATTTGACACTTTTAAGTGAAAAGAGTCTCTTTTTTTTTCACAAGTTTCAGTGCTTATCTATGATTATCGAGACATCCATGTAAGTCAGTCGTATTACATCAATGACGTTGAAAAAAGATTAAGACCTAAGCTAAGTACCAATCGTCTTCTATTTTTATTTTTGTCAGATTGATAAATATTTTCTCTGCTAATGAAAGAAATATTAACGAGTTTGTATTTCATCATATTTAGATGTCAGAAAAAAAGTAACAAAATTGAATATGTGTGACTTTATATGTTTATTTGTGTAGAGTATCATAGCCAATTTAGGCTTACTCTGAGAGATGAAATTTTCTTTTATAACGTTAGCAGATGTTGTTCACAATACTCAATTGACCTTCTTTATTGTCGTAGAAGAAGAAAAAAAAGAAGGAAAACTGGAGCAGTTGTTTCAAACAACGACAATCTTAATGATAAACGAATTTCTTTTTTGTCTTCTTTTTTTCTATCTATTCTTAGAGAGACAGTGACAAATTCCAGTTAGTGTTGATAGAAAAGAGACCTCATCCTCATTTTATTAGATAAAGATGTAACAATTTATTCTACTAAATTAACTCTGAAAACACATGATAATTATTTGTCAAAAATACATCATGCATTTAACCTTTTCTTTGTACTAACTGCTTCTTTTTCTAACATCTTCGAGGAGATTGATCAATGACAATATAAAGAGTCTATTCATTTAAATGTCTANAAATTTATTCAAAAAAATTAACACTCAAAACACCTTAAAATTATTTGTCAAAAAAACAACATGCATTTAACATTTCCAAAACATTAAACGGAAAAAAAAAAAAAAAAAGAACAAAAATAACATTAACAATCAAGTAAAAGATGACACTATATTTTAGATACAATCAACAGATTGGCAATACACAAGTTAGTTGTATGTGCAAAAACACAAAGAAAATATTTGTTATTCTTGTTTTATCAATGATCGAGTTAGAAATTTCTTAGCGTAAGAAATGTTTTGTACATTTTGAGTTTCCAAAGTCATCTCATATCATTCTTTTCCAAGGTTAACATCTTTTTCTTGTTTTTGTTTTTAAATCAATGAATGTATGGTTAAATGCCTACTGGTGGAATTTGTTAGCAATAATAAACAATTATAGAGATGAGAAATTATATAATTCTAAATTAGAGATTTTTTTTTTTTTTTTTTTTTTGCAATAACGGTTTTTTTTAAATAATTTTTAAAAAACATATTTGTTGGTTTTTTTTTTTA